TCAGTATCAACAAGGTGTGCTAAAATAGAACTACGAATAGATCTTGTTTGTCCCTTGCTTAACCATGATGGATGATGTTCGGAAATACGACGATGAACCTGCCTAATTGTACGCCCAATGTAGCTGGCTCCGCAGCTGCAGTCAAACTGGTAGATACACATAGAAGAGGCAAAATTAGGTAGTTTATCCTTATTTCTCGAACATAGAATAGGGGTGGTTGTGAAGAGACAACGTACCTCTGCTGCATAATAAGCTCTTTTAACTGCATTCTTCAAGCGTTGTGTTATTATTTCGCTGATGTTGTCACCGAGGAACTGCAATTTTATGAACATTGGTTTTTTCGGAACTGTAGCCATACTGACTGTCTTTGGTGCTGAATTCATATTCTTCTCAATAAATTTATCTGGATAACCATTTTTCTAAGTAATTCTTTAATAATCTTAAGCTCCTCATTGAGGCAGTCGTCTGAACAGATTAACTTAGCCCTATGAACCAGACACTTTACCAGGTTACGTTTATATTTCAAAGGTACAAAACTCAAAAAATGAGTGTACTGACCTGTTGTTGTAGGTTTCCTATACACACTCCTTCTTAGTGTACCATCTTCTTTCCTTGCCATGAAGACGTCTAGGAATGAGATACTGTCATTACTTTCTTTCTCTATGGTAAAGTTTATTGCTGAATGTTTTTGATGTGGTTGTGTTCTCTGAGCAAATTAACTATCCAGCTCAGAGAACACAACCACATCAAAATCATCCACGTGAGCTACAAATCTTCTCTATCATATTGCTGAATGTGCATCATTAAACTTGTCAAGGATATTCATTGCATCATTCTCGTCTTTCATAACCACAAATGTATTATCCATATATCGACAGTAGAAATCCATGTCATTAATTACTCCTTTCAGTGGTCCATTCTCTAATTTAGTGTTGTTATCCACTAACTGTTGGGACGAACAATGTATCATTGTTAGCCATAAAGTCATGATTGATGCAATCAATCAGATATTGATCATTTTATTTATGGTTTAAATTCCAGTGGATGTCGAAACGATATATAGTCTGTGTTGTGAAAAAGTTTGTTGTTGTTGTTGTCACAGTTAAATCTGACCTCTGTGTTCATCTCAATGTTGGCAATATTTTCAAATTAACAGTTGGCTACAATTTCGTGTCTGGAAGGACATTGTAGACAAGATAAAAAAACAAAACAGTAACACTCCGTTACAACATTAACTCACATCCCTGAACTTTTATTGTATTTGATTCTGTTGATCCAGATTGTTTCAAATGTATGTAAATATCATAAAAGTGCGAAGGAAATGGAAAATAAAAAAGGATGGGAACACATTAACTCAAAAGTGGAGGCAATTCAATTCACTTATGAATTGAAAAGTCAGAAACTCAGGGAGCTTCCAATGTTGGATTGTAGCGTAAAAAGGAAAAAACATGGGAAGTTAAACACTAGTGTTTACAGGAAATCCACACATTCAAACAGATATTTGCATTTCAGATTATCCTATCCTATATCAGTGATAATAGGATTGGTGAGATGTTTAAGTAATAGGGAACAAAAACTAAGTAGTACCGAGGAAAATCTAAGACAGGAAGTGAGGCATATAAGAGAAGCTTTGAAACTTAATAACTACCCGGATAAATTAGTCAGAAAGTATGTAGGGAAATGTAAAATAAAATAAATAATGATAGCAGTGATAGTGATAATAACAATAATAATATTAATGACGACATGCATGTCAAACATGCGCAGGATAATGAATGTAAATCATCAGTAGTACTTCCGTAAAAAGAAAGAACTTCGGAAACCTTACGCAGAATTCTTAACAAGGCAGGAATAAAAGTGGCATTCAAACCCACAAACTCAATTAGAAACAAGCCTTTTCAGTTAAAGGATCCTATGGAGCCTTTAAAAGAAAACAATTTAGTTTATCTAATACCCTGGCTGAAATGACTGTCAGGTTAAATACATAGGTCAAAGTAGTAGAACAGGGGCAGTCAGACTAGCTGAACATAAAAACTTAGCAAAATCTAGATTGGTTGATCCAAATAAGATAAGAAGTCTGGAGAATATTTCAGCTATAGCACTATTTGCAATTACACACGACCATACAATAGGCTGGATGGGATTAGATGACAGTTTTAAAATCTAATGTCACAGGGTGGAGGGAGAGATTGATGACGGAAGCTTTGTTTATCGAATCAACTGCAAATACGTGTAATAGGAATGATTCAACACCTGTTCCAGATATATGCAGAATTCTACTACCCCTTCGACAAGTAAGGGAGAACAAAGAAAACTATAAAACTCGAGTCTCGAAGTCGTATGATTATAATTGATGAAATGATTATGAACAATAAATTGTGTTCAAAACGTCATCCAGTAAATAATACTATTTCACGGTGTGATATATCTAATAAACAAACTAATATGGAAAAAGGGTGGTTAGTTTCTAATTAAAATTTACTTAGGCCAGGAGAGAAAGAGAGAGATATAGGTAGAACAAACTTCTATTGTATGCAAAGGCAAGGACTGTACTCTCGAGTTCTCATAGTTTAGACTATCTGTAAAAGGTGAGTTCGAAAGGTTCAATGGAATGCGAAAGATAACTTTGAAAGCACTACTTTTGTCGACTTGGTGACCGCTACCAATCAAATAAGACAAATAGACTAAAATCTATGAGAAGATTTTAGTCGGCCTTCTCCGAACCACCTTTAGTATTACGTAACTTTTAGGATTTGACCTAATTTATTGATTGAACCGTTTACATAAACATACTATCTTCATTTTCTTATCACCAACTGCATAAATTCCCTATACTTCTGTTAACACTAACCTTATTCTCATTATTTTTGTTGTCGTTATAAACACCGTTATTATTGACGTTCAAAACACTCACCACATCATGATTTTTTCTGAGTTAGACCACGCACTGATATCAGTTAGAGAACCATTGAAAACCAGGGAGCACTGGACATCTGTTTCATCCTAGTTTGAGATTGATCGGTAGTTAGCACTAAGCATTAAGAAGTTAAAACATTCTGGTATTACCCAACCCCTACTCCTACAATTCGTTAATTCTCGCATCCTGCCTATTATTCTCTATTGTTCCCCCTTATTTTTCCAGGGCTACTGAAGAAAGACTATAACATATTACGCAGGATGTTAAAGCTTGTCAGCAGGGTAAGCAACGTGCCACTTAACCAGCTTGTTAATATTCTGGTCGACAGGCACATGGACTTATGTGAAAAATGGGCTAAATCCATTCTATCTAACTAACACCACCCTCTTCATTCACAACTCCCCCCTTGCATCTCATCAGCCAGAACCAGAAGCCAATATAGAAAACTATATGCTCGCACTAGCAAGTACAAAAACTCAACCATACCCTAATTAGCTCGTGTTCTCTGCGATAAAGAAAGCATTAGGCGTGACACCTATAATTCATTAAATAGTCAGTAGAACAACTGAACCTCGTCTTTCCAACTCATGTCATTTATAAGTACAACATTTTCTTTCTTTCTTTTCCTTTTCTCTCTCTCTCTTTTTCCGTTATGTGCTGCTCTGTTTCTTTCTTCCGCTTACGCCAGTAAATATGACAGCACCTACTTTTCTAACACCTTCAAACACTGTTCAACTTTGGCTTTGCTACTGACATGCCAATATGTTGTTGTCATAATGAACTGAGATTTCCTTAATCTATGTAGAATTCTATTTATTGATAATGTACTAACTGGATGCAATACTGTAGTAAAAATGCTGAGAATACCATTCTGTATCACAAGTACTGTTTTGGAATAAAGCAAATTATTATTATTAACTCTTGAAAATTAATCTGATGCTCGCTATTGACTCGCTACAGGACGAAGTTCCTAGAGTTCTAATGTCGTGACCAGTGAAGTGCATCCAATCAGGAGTGAGGATGGATTTCCCGCCGATGACATTGGTTGGTCGTGGCGCTAAAAATCACGAAGTGGTGGAAGTTAGAAGAAGAAGAATTCATGGGCCATTGAAACGGGTCCAAGTGGTTGAAATGTCTACGAGCTTGCCTTGTAACCAGAAGGTCCTCGGTTCGAAACCCAGTAGGTGCGTACTAGGATGTGCAGTACTCCCTGGTTTTCAATGGTTTTCTAACTGATCTCAGTACGTGATCTAACTGGAAAAACAAATCAAGTCCTTACAAATTAAATCGATAAAGTCACCGCCATTGGTCACATTTATATATATATATATATATATATATGTCTCGTTCTAATTTTAACAGTAGCCATATTTATGACTAATATTTTATTATGTAATTATAAAAACTTGATGATAATTTACCGAAAATACGTTTTCGCTCGCTTAAATCGTGTTCGATAATTATCATAATGGGAGCATACTTAAGAATATGTAGAAACAAAAACACATAACATAGGCACATGAAACTTTATCATAATATTATTAGTGACTATTATAATTATTATTATAAACAATAACAGTAATAATAATAATAATCAATTTTATTAAAATATTAATGAATTGTGACATAATTTATCACTAGAAAATAACAAAGTTAGCAGGGGTTAAACAAACAGGACAAGAGAAATTTAGCTAAGAAGAAATCAAAAAAAGTGAACAATTGTGATAGAACAATAAATGTTGTAGGTAAATATGAAGTGTGAATATTAACAACACACAACAGTAAAGCAAAAATAAAGCGAAATTATCAACGATATAGATGCATGAAACACTCATACACACGCACACACGTATACAGAGAATGTGTATTTTTGTAACAACACGATTGTAATTAAAAGAGAAAAGGGGGGAGGCTCCATTACTTCAACATGATGGCATAATAAATAGACTGTTTACAGTAACCACCACCCCCGCCGGGCCCAACCACACCAACACACACACACGCACGCACTTACTTGAGTTCGTTTATTTGTGAAAAGATTGAAAAGACTGAAATCACTGCGAAAACGTATCATCAGCATCATCCTCAGAGGAACAAATAAACCGAAAATCTCGAAAGCAAAATAAAACGAAGTGACCATACACGCACACAAAGAGAGGGAGAGAGCGAGAAAGAAAGTTCAAGTGTGTATTTTACGTAAATATTATGCATGAAACAATGTTTGACCTATGGATTTTAGTACAATGGGTAAAATAGTACTAATAATAAGTAGTAATAATAATAATAATGACAATAATAAATAACAACACAGAATAGAAAGATGCAACAGACAAAGAGAAATGACAGCAAAGGTGTGTGTGTGTGTAAGTGTGTGCGCCTGTGTGTAGTATTATAACCTTATTAAGAAAGCAAAAGAGAGTAGAAGACGATATGCCGAAAAAACAAACACAAAAACACAAAATCTACTTGTATATTATTAGATATGAATTATGCAACAACAAACATTGTAATTGTGTGTATCTTTTACAGTTTACATATATTAAACATTGATAAATTAAAAACTATACACATAGAACTACTAATCATTAAATGAAGGCGATTCATTTTTTTTTTTAATTAACGACGCCAGAAACCAAGAAGAGCAGTTCGCATAGGTCTGTAAACCCGTGAATCAAAATCCAACAACCATGGATGGCCACGTATACTTGCCATGATGGGTGAGTGGACTTCAGCCTCAAGTATAAGAGCTAAACCGAAAAGTGATGCAAATGTTATGAAACCTGCTGACACAGCAGCAAAACGCCATACAGAGACAGCCTCGCCAGCATCCCTTTGAGAAACTATGTCTGTATTAGGACTGTCAATTATTGGATTGAGACGTGGAGAATGATTAGCATGACGTGTGTCTTTATTTTGAACGGAGCGACTTTGTCGAGTTTTCTTCTCACCACTTGATGGACGTAGATAACTGAACCATGATTTAGCCGGTGATTTTTGTGTTCGCTTTATATTGGCATTTAAAAATAAAGATAATATCAAATGAAAACAAATCGAAGGATACTATAAAAAAGAGTTACAAATAAAAGGAAGTTATACTGACATATCTATATGGAATAAAAGCCAGAGAAGGATAGTATTGAATCGATACTAACCATTTCGAGTTTGTTAAGAGCTTCCATAAAAATTGTGTCACCATTTTTCAAAAATTTATTTCAAGACTAGATACTTCATTGAATTTTGCGAGACATCACACGGCATACTACTTATATCTTATCAGAAGTATATATACATACATATAAATAGACACAGTATTTAAATATTCATGAAACCTTTTGTGCCGCCTTCCATGGTATTGAAGTTACTTTTAATGTCACTGAAGCCTGATGGCGAGACGTCTACGACTAAACAATAAACTATGTAAGAGAGATACTCACTCACTAAAATATCGAAACTGAAAAAGGTGGTATGAGTCAATCTAAACTATGCATTACATTCCCCAAAGTATTTTTTTTCCTTCACGTTCCCCAGTGGAACATAGGGCTTCAAGCTATTGGCTTGAAGTTTCTATAGCAGTGTTTATTTTAGGATAGGATGGGATTGCAAGCCTCATGCCCAACCTTTCCTCTTCGCCAGTATTATTTCTGGTTTAGCGAGGTAAAGGAGTGCGTCTGTGGCCGGGGATCGAACCCCGGACCATGTGCATGGTCGGCGAGCATCCTAACTGCTATACCACCGACACACTGGAGGCCTCACCGAGACTCGAACTCGGGTTGCTGGATTCAAAGTCCAAAGTGCTAACCACTACACCACGAGGCCTTAGAAACAGTCTAATATATTATTATTATTCTGTTGGGTTCCTACTGGAACATAGGGCTTCAAAAGTACATTTCAACTTTGTTCAATTCTGTGCGGTCTCCTTTAGCTGGCATCACGATTGGCCATAGGCTCTCATCTCCTCCTCGTACGATTCCCTACATATCAGCCTTGGACACACAAACATCTCGTCGTTTCCCATTCGGGTTCCACTCGATGACCAGCTTGGCGCGCGACAGTCTCCTCAGTGTGAATGTCTGATTCATCCACTTTTTCTCCGAAATATTTGTTAAGAAATAAGTTCTTGCTTCGTTTGTCCGCAAAGTTTCGTGTTGCTAATTCTTTCTGGTTGGCCATTTGCTCGTCAGTATGCAGCAAAGGCAATTGGTGTTGAAAATCCTAATCTTGTTCTTTAGGCTGAGTCAGTGCAGAAGATTTCCAAACTGAGTTCACAGGGATGAAGGTATACCTTGTCTTTCCGATGAAATGATGCTTCCTAGATAAGAGAAGGAAGTTATCTCTCTCTCAAATTTCTCCCGTTTATAGTGATTGGTACTGGATTTTGTTATTAGTTGGTAAACTTCATCGCTTCCGGCTTATTTTCACTTTGCTGCATTTTCTGCCAAATTGTTGGTTTTCGCCTGTAGTTCTTCGTATTTGTAGTCCTATATATATATATATATATATATATATATATAAAAATAAGCTGTCGAATATTTCGCCTCAGTATTATTTTATATGACGTAATAGGATACTGCTTAAACCCTAGATTAACCAATGTGTACGAGACTCAACATAAACAAAAGGATATATGCGGGCAAAAAATTTAAAAAATGTTTAATTTCCTTCCTAATATTACAAGCCAGCTCGGAAGAATACTAATCAATATGACTGCAGGGAAACTAGAGGAGAATTAAAAACTACTGGACATGTGAGTTTAGCTACTACGGTTTAGAGATCTCGTCGATCAAATTAGAATATTAATTCAATCAGGCAATGTTATGCAATGCATATGAAGGGGATAAGTCAAACCAATTGATTAGGGTCAGGATTTCATCACCACTAACATCGTTTAGAGGACCATAAGACAACCTGGGAGTACTGGACGGCTGTTTCGTCCCAGTTTGGAGCCCTTCATCGGTACGCACCCACTGGAGCCTGCAGAACTAGGACAAAACAGCTGTCCAATTCTCACAGGTTTTCTAATGATCCTTTAACTGATCCCAGTTCCTGATGAAATCCTGAAACCAATCAAATTCCTGCAAAGAAACACTGGATTAGGGTCAGACAAAAATTACACCACTGTTTTGCATTCAATACAATACAATTGAGTGGGACACAAAAACAATCCTAAAATCGGATATAGTTTGGTGGTTAAAAAAATGATCATAAAATCAGCATCCAACATCCCCTCGCCCCCCCCCCGCCTCCCAACTAACCAGATATGTGAAAACATTAGTGTTATTACAGTCAGTAAATTTCTCTTGCAACGTATTCCATAACAAACAGGACTAACCTCTTCCGAAAAACTGTACATGCTGATTAACAATTCAAGTTCATATACACGCAAAAACACCAAAAAGAGAGATTTTAGCTTACACTAGCTGTTTCATTGGCTAACCAAGCTTCTCCAGCTTGAGCAGCAGAATGTAAAGCTTCAACTGCAGCTTCCGATGATGTATCATCACCATCGCATTCATCATCAGTATCAAAAATATCAGAATGTTCATGTTGACACAGTCCATATTTGGCTTGTTTTTTCACTAAATATTTCGTAAAGGAAAAAAAAGTATTAATTATAACAATATATGATGTGTGATTACTTTTACAGCTTAGAATTCTTTACCATTGAATTTCACTATAAAAACTGACAACTTTTTAAAAAGACTAGTCTTTGATAACAGTTGGATGAATTTAATCGCTTTTCCTATTTGCTAAATAACCGTATTTTAACCATAAGTAAGTAACTTATTTAACAATTTCCTTGGAATACGGAAGGTGCATTCGAAACTCCCTGTTAAACTGTGATGAAGGGTTAGACAAATCATGAAATAAATATGACAGAAGATTAGAATTCCACATACGATGGTGAATTATATGGGAGCGTTTCCTTTAATTCCTAGAGGAATATAGGGCTTTAGCCGCACGTCTCCATTGCGTTCAGTTCTCCGCCAACGTTTTCGACCGGCTCCACGTCTGCCCACATGCTTTCATCTCCTCTTCACATGACCTCCTCCATATCATCCTCACACTGACGACCAAATAACCGCTTCCCATTCGGGTTCCACTCCGGTGATGGCCTGGCGTGTGGTGTCACTCACTTGATGGTTTTCTCAGAGTGTAGCCAATCCACCTCCATTTCTTCCTGCATATTTCCCGCACAATCAGTTCCTGCTGGGTTGATTCGTTCATTGCCAGAGATCCCTGTTGCTGACCTTTTCTGGACAGCCATCTGAGCGAAGTATTGAGCTAAGACAGCTGTTGATGAAGGTCTGTAGTTTGTTCGAAGTGCCCTTCGTAACGTATACTAAGTAGCACTGACTTCATATTGGAATTGAAAATCCGGATCTTATTCTCCATGCTGACTGCTGTTGATCTCCACACAGACTTGACTTGAGTAATGAAAGCTTGCTTTACTCTCCCGATCCTCGCTTTGATGATATCCTTATCAGTTCCGTCCGCCTGTAGTTGAAACGATGCTTCCCAAGTAGGTAGGTAAAGGAGGTTGTTTCTTTCAGATTCAGCTTCTCGCATTTATGCTGATTGTTGTCTGTTGTTGTTGCTGTTGGACAGGAATTTTCATCACCTCTGTTTTCGCCATTTTCACCTGAGCGCCTATGTTTGATGCTTCTTCTGACAACTTGTTGCTTTTCGCTTGTATATCTTCCAGTTTGTGGGAAATTGGAGATATGTCATCGGCGAAGTTCAGATCTTCCAAGTTTTTTGTGTGGGTCCATTTTACCCCTGTCTCCTTGTCGCCCGCCGTTGTCTGTCGTATTATCCAGTCTGCCCCAATCAGGAAAATCACTGGAGATAGTAGGCAGCCATTCAGCCTTGTCTTACTTCCGTCTTCCCTTCGAAGGATTCAGTGAGTTTCCCGTTGTGGATTACTTGGCAAGCGGCATTATAGTACATTTTCAAAAGTTTGCAATATCCCAAATGTGTACCACTATATTGTCTCCAAACTATCGTCTTTATCACACCTTTGCTTTTCCATAACAGCACCACTACATTTCTGTACTCTTACCACTGGGTATTATTTCGACGGAAAACACCTTGAACTGATGTACCACTGTAAGAAGTTCACAATTACCCGTCAGTCAATCAACAAAGATAAAAGAAACATAGGCTGAAACAAAACTTACATAACCTTCGTTGTCTTCTTCTAGCTTCGGTACTGAAACGACGTTTTGGTATATTAGTGAAAAGAGGAGCTAACTGATTTGCATTAACAACAACAACATTGCCTGAAAGATTTGATTGATTTTGTGAAACATCTTGATTTTCTATACTTCCAGTAGCTGAACTTGAAGCTACATTACGTGTGACTGATGGTTCTGAAAATGCTGGAACTTGAGAATGACCAAGAGGTGCTAACAAACTCAAAGATGTAGCTGGTGCAGTTTGTGTTGATTCACCATCCTCTTGTCCATTTTCATTGATGGCATTCATACTACGACCTGTATCATTTGATAAGGCAACCATACTTAAACTGTATGGATTATTTGTAGTTGGATGATTTAAGGAAAGATTTTCATCAGCAACAGACATTGTACTTTATAAAAAAAGAGAAAACAAAAGAAAGGACATCTCTTTCATTTGTGGCAAAAATATATTCAGAGAAACAATTTTAAGGTTAACAAATTACGTTAACAAGGGTATTCAAAATAACTAAATTTACAATGACATCTCAGCGCTAGTAGTACAGTAAGAAGTTATTATGAACTGACAGCTAGTTACAATATCAAATGGTCGAGGCATAAAAGTTCAGATATGAGAATAATTAAATCATTTATATAAGAAGCTGAAATGTGCTATACTCAAAGGACAAAATTCATTTCATAGTAAATATAAATTAAAATAAGTTATTCCCGTGTTATTTTTCAGGATTAAAGGACGGATGAAAATCTCGGCTAATAAATACACTCCTAGTCAAGTGTGAAAATTACCCATTAGGGTTTACTGTCTTTAGGCTTAGATAGGCTGAATTTGATAGATTTTTGTAGAGATTTCTTCGTATACACATTCAAAGTGGATTTTTCCTACCTGCCTCCCTACCTACCTGTAAGCTGAGATAGGTAAAAATGTATGCAAGATGATGTTACAGGATTGGACCTCACCGACCCCTAGATTAGAAATAGGAAGTGAAGTGGTAGAGCGCGTTGACCGCTTCACTTACTTGGGAATTACCATCAGCCAGTGCCAACGGGTTGATCTCTAACGAAATCTCAGCACGGATACAGAGGGCTAGGTTCGCATATGCCAGTTTACGCCGCCTCTGGCGTAGACGTGATATCCGACTATCGACCAAAGGGTGTGTGTACTGCTCAACAGTCCGCTCTGTCCTCCTTTATGGCTGTGAGACCTGGCCATTGAGAGCAGAAGACATGAGAAGATTAGCTGTGTTCGATCATAGGTGTCTGCGTTCTATACTGAGGTTAGGCGTCGAGTGCTAGGTAAGGAAGGGAAATCAATCAACGAAGCTGTGAAATTACATCGACTGAGATGTTTAGGACATGTGTTACGTATGCCTAGTCATCGCCTTACTCGACAGTGGGCAATGTTAGCTGATATAGGGCCAGGCTGGAAAAGAGCTAGCGGCGGTCAAACCAAAACATGGCACCAGTCAATGAAATCCACAACAGTTAGTTTAAGCCAGCCACGTAGGAAGGTGTAGACTTCCTGACTGGTTGGGTTCCTCGGGATGGTAAAAACCAATGGCTGGAAACAATTGGTGACATGGCTCAAAATCGTTCTCAATGGCTGGCGCAGATGCATCCAATCCTTGTGACTTATGATTTCCAATTAAACTTTTGATCTTCGTTACTACTATTCCTTTGTCTCACACTTCTTTTTACTGTCTATATTATGCATTTCTCCTATTTTCTTCTCTTGCTTTGTGTGCTACATGGAGTGTGGCGACTTGAACTGCCGCACATCGGTGCAAAGTTCTATGTCGAAAACAGGCAGACAAAAATCGATCATGTGTCACACACATTTCAGTCAATCTAATAAACTATTAACCTACAACACACATCTACTCTGATATTATTACAATTCATTGCCTTTCTTACCTTCGGTTCACTTGAAAGCTTAACAACAACATCACAAAAGATTAACCCTCTCTCATACACTAATATCGGCATCAGACAGGTATATAAAATGTATAGCTGACAATGCAAGCTGAAATTTTACTTCAAATATCAAATAAACATTGTCCCACACAGTAGTCTTGTTAGCCGTGGATAGTTTTCAATCCGTTTTTCACACTGCTGTTAAAACAACCATTGAGAGAACCTGACGTAAATGCACACAAATAAGAAACTGCTCAAGAAGGATCAATAGCCCTCTAATCATAATCACGCCTCGAACAGCAATAGGATACAAAACTCAACCGCGAAATGTATACACATACCTTATATCTGTGGGTAGACTAGTAGTTAACAGAGGTCTGCCAATAACTTCACGACGACATCGACCGCTAAAAGGAAGAAAATTATTTTTAAAACTACTTTAATGGTATACTAAAATATAACAGTAGTGTACATTTAAATTAAACATTCTACGTGTAATCTAAACTATTTAAATCCAAGGATATGCAAACTGATCTAGAAAGCATAGTCAGCAGGCAAAACAAAAAGTTAAAACATCACTTACGAGAATGTAAAAGTTCTTGTACGTTGAAATAGTGCCCGTTTCGATTTAATAGGCTTAACAGATGAAGATTTATCTAGACTATATATTTAGAAAAAGTAAAATAAACAAATAAAGAATATTTATTCAGTTGTTTCATTTGAGAAGAAAAAACTACCCAGACAATATATTGTGAACTTTTATGTAAATAGTCAGTAATCCTCAATAACTGTGGAAAGTGGTAACATGGAGAAACATGACGGTTTAATGAGTATGGAAGATCAGTAAAGAGTGAATACCTCTCTGTACCAATGAGAACGATTTTCAGCCATATCACCAACTGTCTCCAGCCATTCATTGTTCTTAGCATCCTAAGGACCTCAAACAAGCGGCCTATACATTTTCAAGTATTGGTTTGGTAGGGATTTTTTGTTTAATTGTATGGAGGATTTCATCATGAGCTGACATCAGTTAGAGAACCACTGGAAAACCTGGGAGTACTGGACAGCTGTTTCGTCCTAGTTTGGGACTCTTCAACAGTACGCGCCCACCGGGATTCGAACCCAGGACCTTCTGGTTACAAGGCGAGCTCGTAGACCATTGAGCCACTGGGACCCTATACATTTCCCTATGAGTTTCAAACTAACTGCCAAAGATATCATGAACTGATGCCAGGCTTTGAGTCGACTACCTCTAATTCCTTCCCAACCTAATCCTACGCGCCCTAGCCATCTGAATCGATCCACCTTCACAAACTTATCGAGTGACTTACCCTCCTCCTCACCTAACTTCAGTATTACTCAGTATATCATTTAATACATTTAATACGGTACATAGAACACAGACACCTATGATCAAAGACAGCTAGCCATTTAATATTTCTCCTCTTCAATAGCCATGTCTGGCAAACATAAAGAACGGAGCGAGCTGTTACGCCGTACGCACGTCTTTTGATCGATACCCAGATAGCACGTGTAGGAAGTCAGAGGTGATGTAGGTTGGCAACTACTAAATGAGTCTTTTCTATGCGTGCTGATATACTGCAAGCAGATTTTGAAAAAGATATTTCAGGGGTTTGGATAATTTAAGATATTACAGGATACCTTCGGTGTCATGGAATATACATTGATTTTTGTTTCAACATATTTATTCAAAAGTATTGATTCATCATGTTAACTAATGAAATATTTTTTTCTTCCTTTTGCACTCTGAGTAGAACATAAGACCTGAAGCTTGGGCTCCGAAGTTTCAGTAGCGCTGGCATTCTTTATAACGGGGCAGTGGTGCTAACCTCATACCACCCAACCTTCTCTCTTTACCGCGCTTACTATCGGTTAGGCGAGGTTCAGGAGTGTGCCAGGCGGGAATCGAACCCGATTTATGAGCGTGGTTAGGGTTAGGGTGAGCATTCTACCATTAAATCACCAACGTAGAGCTAACTCCTCGACAAGGAATTCAATCCAGGCGTCCCACATGACAGGCAGACACATATTCACCACATAAGGGGGGAATTCACAAAAGCCGAAGGGTCAGAAAGTAGTATGATAATTACAATTTTATGAGATAATGACTGAACTTTACTAAACAACAACAAAATCACCCAAATACGCTTATGTAAAAGATACACAGCGGAAAACCGACAATTTAGCAGAAGAGGTAGGCACCAAAGACAGGACTTCAAGTGAACATAGAGAAGACAGAGACGATGGAGATATCTAGCCGACAACAATAACAATAACCGATCACCATCAACGGGGAAAACTTTGAAGGAATTCACTTCCTTCACTTATCTGGGGATATCAAAATCAGGATCGAAAAAGCAAAAGAGACCTTCATTAATAATAAGAAATCAGTCTGGAAATCCACTACACTCAACACAAACAACAAGATTCGAATTTCCAACATAAATATCAGTCAATTCAGTGCTTCTATACGGTGAACACGTTACACACAAAAAAATTTTCGAACAGGCTTCAGACTTCTATCAACAGCTGTCTTCACTCCATGCTGTGGATCAAATGACCAGAAACGATTAGTAACGAGGAACTCTGGCAGGTAACGAATCAACCAGGAACCTATTACTCAAGAAACATACAGAAGGAAACGGGAATGAATCAGACGCACGCCAGGCCCTCAAGTAGAACCCAAATGAGAAACGACTAGTTTGGCATCAGCGGGTGACGTGAAGGAGATAACTACTTATGGGTGATTGTGGAGAGAAACTAAAAAGAACTGTAGAAAACAGAATAAAATGATAAGGTACTGTTGAAGCCCTTCATCCCCAAGGGAATAGTGGTAATGTACGAGTTCTGATAAGCTTAAATCTTACTTTGTACCTCTAATTATCAATACTATCTTTTAAGCATTCCCTATGAAGTATGAATTTTTGTACTGTCTTATTTATTACTGGACATTAATAATAGTAATAATAATAATAGCTATATCATGCGCAATAAGTCTGAACAATATGCATAACTTTCAGCGTAGTTTATAGCATAATACTTTCTCTTCAAATAGGAGTTCAAGATATGTGATGCAGTGATGTTAGATCTAAAAAAATAAAATAATCTTTTATGGAATTTTTTCTTTGGCCTTCCAGAATTAAGCAACAGTATGTTGCAAACCAATTAAAATTGTGTATATGATGAGTACATTTCGCGAACCACGGACGTAAATCAATGATTATAACAAAGAGAACTAAAGAAAATGAGATGTATCACATCTCAGATTGAAATTTAAATAGCTCAGTAATTCTAAGCAAGCCGCCAATACAATGCAATCACTGTCTGTCTGTCTGTTTTCGACATAGAACTTTCCACATATGTGCGGCAGTTCAAGTCGCCACACTCCATGTACCACACAAAGCAAGGGAAAGTAGAAGAAATGCATAAGAGAGACAGTAAACAGAGGTGTGAGACAAAGGTATAGTACTAACGAAGAAAAAAAAAACAGTTCAATTGGAAGTCATAAGTCACTAAGAGTGGATGCATGTGCACCATTGAGAACGATTTTGAGCCATGTCACCAAATGTTTCCAACCATTGGTTTTTACCGTCCCGAGGACCCCAACCAGGAAGTTTACACCTTTCTATGTGGCTTAGACTAACTGTTGTAGATTTCATTGACTGATGAGGCCATGTTTCGGTTTGACCGCCGCTAGCTCTTTTCCAGCCTGACCCTATATCACCTAACATTGCCCGTTGTCGAGCAAGGCGATGACTAGGCATACGTAACACATGTCCTAACCATCTCAGTCGATGTAATTTCACAGCCTCATCTATTGATTTCCCCTCCTTACCTGGCACTCGACCTCAATATTGGTCACCTTATTATACCCCTTCACGCGGGAGATAGAACGCAGACACCTATGATCGAAGACAGCTAATCTTTTCATGTCTACCGCTCTCAATGGCCAGGTCTCACAGCGATAAAGGAGGACGGACAATGCAATCACTGACACAATATACACCGCATAACATCAAAAAATGGAATGAGAAGTATGACATGACAAAAAGTCAACACAATAAGTGAAATATACTCACGTGAAAAACAATTGTCGATCAGATGCCCATTCCCATAAAGCTTGTGCAACAGACTTATTATCACATTTATAATGAATAGTTGTTGTAGTCTGCAATAATAATAATAACAATAGAATAAAAATAAGTAAACAAACAAACAGGCACCTATACGCACACACATATACACACACACAAAAATCAAAACTATGTTGTATTTTTACATTAAACACAAAAAACTTCAAAAAAAATGATAGCAAAAGTACGCTAAGCAGAACACATTAAACAATAAACAAAACACGAAGATTTAAGATTATTTTCAATAATTTCTCTTCAGGCTCTTACATTCTGATATTATAAAATATAATACTTGTTGTTGTTACAATAATGATAGCCAGTTATGCGGCGGATACATTTTTAACGTAGAATAACAGATTAGTTATGGAGTGTCAAAATAAATAGTCGTATTTGTGTGACAAACGTGCTAGACTGAAATCGATTACAAAATATTGTAAAACGGGAGACAATGGTGGTGATTAATCAGTAATAGATTTGTAGAGTGTGGGGTAGGAAAATTGACAAGTCAGTTCAAGGTTATAAAAGGTGTCAGGTGAGTGGCTAGAACAAAGTGGTCTGTGTTAAACAAGAGATAGTAAGACTGCAATGAGAGGTTCATAATGAAATAACGAATATGTGAAATGAAACAGGTGGAGGCATATATTGAGAAAAGAGATAATATCACTAATAATAAGTCCGGATAGTATAGATGAAATATTCGATAGTATTGAGAGAATGTTTGCGTGAAGGGCATAAATTATGACGAATAATAATAATATTAATAATAATAATTGTAATAATAAGCAAAGGAAAGAAAAGAACAAGAGGGTTAAGGGGAAGGAGCACTCTTGGTGAGAAGAAGAATCATCAATCTAAGTTTGGCCACGGTAGGAACAGGGTCTGGACGCGTTCATTTTGGATACAAAGTTCCGGTTTAGTCGATCTTATTGCAATTATTTATTTTGACACCCCATAACTAATCTGTTATTCTACGTTAAAAATGTATCCGCCGCATAACTGGCTATCATTATTGTAACGACAACAAATATTATATTTTATAATTTAAGAATGTAAGAACCTGAAGAGAAATTATTGAAAAGAATATTCTTCGTTCAGATTGACTTTTAAAACACGAAAACCCCTACGCACACACACACAAAAACTTGGGAGAAAAATTACTGCTAGCCAAAAACTAAAATTAATAAATAATCATTTTTAAATAAAAAGCAATTGAACAACTATCAAATCTTTGTTTTTGATGAATACTCTATTGTGAATAGATTTCAAATGTGAATGGATTTGAATCAAACAGTTTGAAAAATAAAAACTGTATCTTAAACTCTAGAAATAATTGAAAATAATATTAACATTGTGATAACAAGGGTTAAAGCAGGCAAGCAGGCAGGCAGGTAGGTAGATAGGTGAGCAATCAATTAAGCTATCGGCGTAAAGTTTGCGTCTCATTTTTTCTTTCTTGAAAAATAATCACACATATAATAAGTTAAATGTTTATTGGACACAATTTAACACCAATTTTTTCTTGCTGTTGATGTTGTTTTTATTTTTATTAGTTAGGAAAGCAAAACCATATGTGTAACAGTAGTAATGAACTTACCTACTTTACTTTACTTTATTATAAAACACACACACTGATCGACTAAGAAAGAAATAATGGTAAATATCTTTAGGAATGGAAAGAAGAAAGACGAATGAATTCAGATTTTGACTACTGTAAAGAGAAAGAAAAACAAACAAATCAACTAAAACTTAACGGTAACTTATCATTCATGCTGATAAGACAAACATGAGTGCCACTACACACACTGCTAACAACTTATATTCTATTGATGATTCCTAATAGTAAGCCTATGGTTTTACAAAGGAGAAAAACGATGCCCTCACAGCTCCATCTTAAAACTTCTGATAGACTCCGGACACACCAAGCTACACCCCAAACAAACTTCAAAGTCGTCTACAGAAAAGTCTTCCTTAGGGTGTACGAATCAGACTTCTTCAAACTGCAGAAGCAATTGCGATTCACTTGCTAAGTCCTGAACTCTGCATACAGAAGAAGTTCATTCAATCATTAAACTTGCAATGGACGTAATCTCTCTTAATACCCGACAGGTAAATTCTATTTCTTTCTGTCTCTTCATTAGTACTATTTTACATTTTCAACCTTCTTGTTCTCTACCCCCACCCGATTTAATTTCTGCACTTCACTACCACTGTTACTGACTTTACCAACGCTCAATTTCTAGTCATTTATGTTATATCATCCAACTTATTTGCTCAATTTTAGTTCTAATTTAAATGGCATTATTCTCTACCCCAATTCTACTTAGTCTCTACCTGTAATTATATTACGTCATCTAACTTACTAACTCAATTTTACTTTAGTTACTGTCTAATTAACTTTGTTTCTATATTAGATCATTCTTGTATTACCTAATCAATTATCTAAACTTGACAAACCTTATGTACACACACACACACAAATAATTATATATAAATGCGATTGTACAGCTATGTGCATGAATTTGCCGAAAAGAGTCTCTTCGCTGAACATCTTCTCTTTTTATAATCTATTGATGATTTCTAATAGTAAGCCCATTACATATAATTGGAGTATAAGATATATATATAAAATGATAAGGCTCAAAGCTTTCTATTGGTGTGTTTATGATAATAAACATGCTTCGATGGTTTGATGGTAGAGGATACTTGCCGACCAAATGTACATGGTCTGGGTTTCATTCCCGGCTGAAATACTCCTACGGGTAAAAAAATGCTGAGAATTCCATTCTGTATCACAAGTACTGTTTTGGAATAAAGCAAATTATTATTATTATTATTATTATTATTATTATTATTACGGGTTCACTTAGACCGGTAAATAGGGAAGGTTAAGCGTGAGAGATTGGCAACACTTCCCCATTAAAGAGAACGCTAGCGTTAATCAATACTCGAAGCTCAAGCTTGAAGCCGTATTTTCCACTCGGAATGCAAAAAGGTGTATGTGTGGGGGGGAGGGGAATGATAATAAACAGGTTTAATGAATAGTCTACAGAATATATCATATTTTCAGCTGTACGGAGATAAAGGTATCGAAAAGTAATAATGCAGTCTAATGAGCCAAGTCTGCCAACCCAAAAGTTAGAATGGAAAGTACGGTTGGAACCCATTTAATGGATAGTAGTTGGTTTGCTAATTGCAGGTTTCGTGCTTTAAACCGAGGAAGAAAAAAAAACCTAGGAATCGTGAAGTAACAGAACACTTTCATGAATTTAATGACATTGACTAACTAGTAGTGTATGAACTTGAGAAAAAGACTAATGAAGAATATTCATCGTGTAAAAAAATAGCGATATCGTTAGACTATCGATTAGAACAAATATGTCATGCGGAATCTGCAATTTTGATTTAGTGATACTGAAAGTAGAAGGAATACACCCTGAAGCACTGAAAGCGGACCCAGAGACGACAGCAGATATACTGACTCCATTATTGCAAAAGGTCTGGAAGCAGGGAAAGCTGCCTACTGACTGGAGGAAAGGTTACCTCGTGAAACTACCAAAAAAGGGTGACATAGGACTCGTGAAGAACTGGCGAGGGATCATGCTCCTGTCGACGCAAAGTAAAATCCTGAGTTGCATCATCCTGAAGAGAATAAAGGACGCACTGGATACAGAATTCCAACCAGAACAAGCTGGATTCAGAAAAGGCAAATCATGTTCTGACCGAATTGCAACTCTACGCATCATCAGCGAACAAAGCGTGGAATGGCAATCAAACCGCCACCTCAACTTTATAGACTTTGAGAAGGCCTTCGACAGCGTTGACCGTGTACCACGGCGTACCCCAAAATATTCATCAACCTTATACAACAGCTGTACGACAACGGCACATGTCAACTAATCCACAACGTAAATCTCAGCGAGGCGTTTGGAGTAAACACAGGAGTCAGACAATGATGCTTATTATCACCAATGATATTCCTAATTGTGGTGGACTGGATTATGCGTCAGACAGTGGGAAACGAGAAGACAGGGATATCCTGGACCGATGTGAAGAATCTAGAAGACCTGGATTTCGCGGATGATTTATGTTTGATGTCACACAAAATCGAAGACTTACAAGCGAAAACCGACAAACTGGTCGAAGAAGCAGCAAAGACAGGACTCCAGGTGAACATAGACAAGACGGAGGTTATGAAAATAACCAACCAACAACAACAAAAACATCAGCAACATCCAGCGCCAATCACCATCAACGCGAGGGATTTGAAAGAGGTTACTTCATTCACTTATCTAGAGAGCATTGTCTCAACTACAGGAGGAACGGACGAAGATGTCAAATCGAGGATCGGGAAGGCGAGAAACACATTCATCAACCTGAAACCAATCTGGAAATCTTCCACTGTCACTCAGCCTGCATCAACAACAAAATTCGGATTTTCAATACAAACGTCAAGTCACTCAGTTCTTCTATACGGATCAGAAACTTGGTGGCAGGTCACAAAGAATATTTCCAACAGCCTGTTGCAGACCCTTATCAACAGCTGTCTTCGCTCTATACTGAAGATCAGATGGCCGGAAAGAATCACCAACAAGAAACTATGGGAACAAACAAAACAAGAACCAATCACCCAACAAATATGCAGGAGAAAGTGGAGATGGATTGGACACTCGCTGAGGAGGCCGCTGGGTGACATCGCGCATCAGGCCATAGCTCGAGTGGAACCTGAAAGGGAAGCGACGAGTGGGACGTCCAAGGGTGACATGGAGGAGATCGTGTGAAGAGGAGTTGGAACAGTATGGACTAACATGGATGCAGGTGAAAAGTACAGCAGAAGACAGAAGCAAGTGGAGACGTGTAGTTGAAACCCTATGTTCCACTAGGAACCTTAAGGGAACAATAATAATAAAAAGTCGATGAGCTGAATTTCGCAGTTAAGACAACCTATAGCAGCCACTAAATAATAATTAGTAACCTGTCTAAATGAAAGTCTGTTGATAAAATGTTAATTCAAATGCTTTAACTCCGTAATGGAACAATTCTCCGCCTACTAGAAATCCTGATGCCAACCTAAACGTATCCCTTTAACTTAGCTTCTTATTCTAAACCTTAGCCGTAAAAGATGACCAGTATTCATAACCTTGGTTATGAAGGTTACTGTCAAGATGTTTTGATAGTTGTAATAGTTTGTCTTCACCAATTTCATCTTTTCAAGTGTTAGTTTGTAGGGATTTGATTGGTTACAGGATTTTCATCATGAACCGACATTAGTTAGAGAAGCATTGGAAAACCTAGGAGTACTGGACAGCTGTTTCGTCATCCCAGTTTGGGACTCTTCATCAGTACTCACCCACCGGGATTCGAACCCAGGACCTTCTGGTTACAAGGCGAGCTCGTATACCATTAAGCCACTAGGACCCGATCCAATGGCCCATGAATTCTAACTTCTACCAATTCACGACATAGCGCCACCCCTAGCAAATGTCTTCGGAGAGTATTTGTCCTCACACCCGACCTGCTGCACCCTACTGGTCACGACTTCTCACTGGAACCCAGGTGATAATTACGTACCTGAATAGGGGAAGTCGCTAGTGAGAATCTCATTGATATTCAAGTGTTGGTTTGAATGGATTTGATTGGTTATAGGATGTTACTAATGTCACCTCATGATGAAAATCCTGTTAACAATTTCAGCTTTGTTCAGCAAGGCTCTTGTAATCCTAAAAGAAGGCTCAAAATATTGAATAATCTGAAATGGATTATTGAGATATTCTATGAGTTTGTATGTATGTTTTTCTATAAAGAAGAATAGGGTAATCAGTGTTTTAAAATGTCGAGAGAGAGAGAGGGAGAGAAAAAAGTGTAACACTCAGGATTCTACTGAAAAACTTGATGTAATGTTGGTACTTATTGGACCATCAATCATACGTTTGTTAACTGATTACGAACAAAGTCAATATATTCATATATTGGAGAGATTTTCACAGTCCACTAGCTGTGTTGCTAAGAGAAGAGAGAAAATACACTATATATAAAAAAAACTGTTATTTTAATTTTATTTTCATTTCATTTCACTTCTATTCACTTACTTATGTAAAATGTACATTCTAAAGTACATCCTATTATCTTTTAAGTAGGTGGTAAAGTGTACAATACCCTAACGATTGTAGTGTACAACAGTGTACATCATTTTTGAATAATTATTACTAAGAAGAAAGGAATAAGATGACAGATAAGACAGATGTACTTGTTGACCAAAACGGACCCAAGTTATCAGAAAAAACCATATAATAAACATAATTTTTATGAAACTGTTAAGAATAGATAATTGAAAACAAAAAACAACACAACAATTACTAATAACTTCAATGTAGATTTGATCATGAAACGACACCAGCTAGAGACCACTGAAAAAAAAGAAGAGGGTACTTACTGGACAGTTGTTTCGTCCTAGTTCAAGATTCTTCAAGGTTCTAATGATCCTAGGTTACATGCCTGGTTTGACTGTGTGAATGTGCACACTCCTAAAGAGTCCAGAAATTAGGATGAAACAGCTATCCAGCACTCCTTGGTCGTTTAATGATCTCTCTGTAACTGGTGACAAAGCCTGTATTTGAAATTAATCTAAATCCCTACTAAAAACCCGCAATCTAATTATAAGAATAGTAATATTAATTTGTTGACAAATAATAGTGGGGAAAGAGGAAAGGGGATACGTAAACTCAATCCCTAGCTCAATATATTTGAACCAAAAAATATTACAATTCGGAATGGACAGTAAATTCAAGCAATACATTTGTACTTATAATAATAATTCATGCTCATATAAACCATTCAATTCAATGAATTGTGTTAGTACGATATAGATATGAAGAACGTTTGGTTTGACGACATGCAAGTCAGACACAGATATACCTCATGTATGCTATATGCATAAGTGACAAGACAACATATACACTGAGTGACTACTCTATAGAAAGAGTAAAACATGCATGTAATTACGTATCAAATAAATTACCTTTTTCTTACGTCCAGAATGCTGTTTAAATTTTACAAACAAATTAAAATAAACAAATGTAAGGTACTCATCTAAGTATAAAATAAATATGTTAAAGCATAATATATTACTAGTAAGTTTTCATCACCAGAAGAATATAAAAATATATACAGGTGATTAAAGGTGATGAGGAAATCAAAAATGCAGCATAAAAGTTGTCAGACTGTTATAATTTAGTGCTTTGTCATCCGATTGTTTTCTACCACCCTCCAGTCACAGATCTAATCACGAGTTGATATCAGTTAGAGAAACAATAGAAAATTAGGGGGTACTAAACAGCTGTTTCTTCCTAGTTTGGGACTCTTTAGTGGTACCCATCCACTGGGTTTCAAACTCAGGACCTCGCGGTTACAAAACGAGCTCGTAGACCATTCAGCCACTGAAACCCAACTCAATAGCCCACGAGTTCCAACTTCTGCTATATCATCACAGAGGACCCCAACCAGTCAGGAAGTCTACACCTCCCTACGTGGCTGACTGGCTTAAACTAACTGTTGTGGATTTCATTGACTGATGAAGCTCTTTTCCAACCTGGTCCATCCTATGTCAGTTAACATTGACCGTCAAGGAAGGCAATGGTAAGGCATAAGAAACACATATCCTAACTATCTCAATCGATGTAACTTCCCTGCCTCGTCGACTGATTCTCCTCCCGATCTAGCACTCGATGCCTAACCCCAATATTGCTCACCTTATACCACTTAACACGGGAGATAGAACGCAGACACCTATGATTAAGGATAGTCAGTCTTTTCATGTCTTGATATAAGTATAAAACTTGGGCACTGTTGTAGTGTAACTCCATTATGGATAAAATTTTATTTTGATAAGTCACACAGTGTTATACAGTAATATTAACTGATGACGTTTTGAGCACAAACTATTACCACTCATAATCATATCAAGTTACTCACACAACGTTTTCCTTTCATTTATATACATGTGTGGGATTGACTAGATATTTGAATAAAAATCAATATGAGATAATGTACATTTTCATGTCTTCCACTTTCAATGGCCAAGTCTCACTCACAGGCATAAAGGAGGACAGAGTGAACTGCTGATCAGTACACACGCCCTCTGGAAAAACAGGCGAACCGAACAGCTTTACTCATTGTCGATAACATTTCACCGAGATTATATATTTCGAGAGGTGAAACACGCTGAAAAATTTGATACTATGAGTACGGAAGACTTTCATTACTTAGATAAGCGTAAAGTTATTTCTGAATATTGTTTTCATAAAGCTTGCAACTCAAACGAAAACAATAACTAGAGCATATGCATGAAATAACTGACAGTATTATTTCATTTCAAAACACCACTGGACTAAATGTAGTGTAAGCTGATAATAAACTGCCTTAAGTTTACTTGTAAAGTATTCTGTGGCTTTACTTGTTCTCGATAACCTCCGACTTTCACTACACAGCAATACAGTTTAAAAATTTAAATGAAAAGTGGTAAGGATGTTAACAACCACTATTGAGACTACAGTTCATTTATTAGGAGGAATTCAGTTACAGATTTAAAAACACGCGAAATCTGTATTATTATTATTATTATTACTATTATTATTATTATTATTATAAGAATATTAAAACACAACAATAGCAGCAAAAACAAGACAATAAATAACATAATTACTTGATGTGAAGTTGCCAGGACGAAATCCCTGCCATTGCATGTCATCCAAGAAATAGCCGACCTAAGGATTCAAAACAAAACAAAAAGGTACATACATTCAGTCAACATGTTGAATCAAGCCTACCTACTCTTCAAGAATGATGACGAACTTTATGGTTCATTATTAATAACTGAAACTCAAATATCAAATACTTAAAAGATATCCCTAACAAACCAGTATCATTAACATAAAAGAGGGGCAACTGTGAATAGCTTAAAAGAGGTAACAACACACAAATAGCAAAAGCATTTCAAGCCCTCATGATGAGAGCTTTATTATCATTATTCCCTTGGGTTCCTAGTGGAACATAGGGCTTCAACTGCACGTTTCCACTTGCTTCTGTCTTCTGCTGCACTTTTCACCTGCATCCATGTTAGTCCATACTGCTTCAGCTCCTCTTCGCACGATCTCCTCCATGTCACCCTTGGACGTCCCACTCGTCGCTTCCCTTTCAGGTTCCACTCGAGCTATGGCCTGATGCGCGATGTCACCCAGCGGCCTCCTCAGCGAGTGTCCAATCCATCTCCACTTTCTCCTGCATATTTGTTGGGTGATTGGTTCTTGTTTTGTTTGTTCCCATAGTTTCTCGTTGGTGATTCTTTCCGGCCATCTGATCTTCAGTATAGAGCGAAGACAGCTGTTGATAAGGGTCTGCAACAGGCTGTTGGAAATATTCTTTGTGACCTGCCACCAAGTTTCTGATCCGTATAGAAGAACTGAGTGACTTGACGTTTGTATTGAAAATCCGAATTTTGTTGTTGATGCAGGCTGAGTGACAGTGGAAGATTTCCAGATTGGTTTCAGGTTGATGAATGTGTTTCTCGCCTTCCCGATCCTCGATTTGACATCTTCGTCCGTTCCTCCTGTAGTTGAGACAATGCTCTCTAGATAAGTGAATGAAGTAACCTCTTTCAAATCCCTCGCGTTGATGGTGATTGGCGCTGGATGTTGCTGATGTTTTTGTTGTTGTTGGTTGGTTATTTTCATAACCTCCGTCTTGTCTATGTTCACCTGGAGTCCTGTCTTTGCTGCTTCTTCGACCAGTTTGTCGGTTTTCGCTTGTAAGTCTTCGATTTTGTGTGACATCAAACATAAATCATCCGCGAAATCCAGGTCTTCTAGGTTCTTCACATCGGTCCATGATATCCCTGTCTTCTCGTTTCCCACTGTCTGACGCATAATCCAGTCCACCACAATTAGGAATATCATTGGTGATAATAAGCACACTTGGCTGACTCTTGTGTTTACTCCAAACGCTTCGTTGAGTTTTCCGTTGTGAATGAAGAAACCTCTTTCAAATCCCTCCTATTGAAGGTGACCTAAGTCGTCCTTCTTTGGAAGTTTCACAAGGTAACCTTTCCTCCAGTCAGTAGGCACCTTTCGCTCCTTCCAGACCTTTTGCAATAATGGAGTCAGAATATCTGCTGTCGTCCCTGGGTCCGTTTGAGAGCCTTAATATCAAGTAATTGTCAAGTTTAACAATTAAATATTACGCAGTGAAGATAAAAGTTGATAACAGAACACATACACACACACACGACTACTACTATGAGCAGTTAAAAATCATCCATGCATGCTAACTGGTACTGCTCGTTAACCAAATCGAAAAACTAGGTGGCTTTTTAAGCCCAATTTAAAGCTGTGTTCATCGAGTAATAATCAATTATCTACAAGAAGAACATACTAAGATGAAGTAGAACGACTTGAACATACCTTATAATGATCACTATCTCGAGGTCTTTATGGTTAGATAGATAGCGTATTCTTGATTTCTTAAAGAAAACATAGTGAGGTGTTACTCTGCACTGTGTATATACTTACAAAAAACTGTAATGATTTCAAATAGAATAACTATAATAGACTTCCATTTTATCAGCAAGAGACATGAGGATATCTAATTTCCAATAAAACAAAACCGATAATGACCATGATTAGTGTAAGTTACGCTTGAATTCCTTACTGTTTGCAACCATTTAAATTTCTGGCGGCATAGCGTGATAATATTACACGAAAGGGTTTTCTTATGACTTTAATGTGCTACTAAAAGTGTCCCCCACAGACTCAATTGTGTTACTCGATCGATAGCTGCTACCTTGACGTGGTGGTTAGGCTTGCATATCTCGATGATCCAACAAGCTTCACTAGCTGCAACGAATGTTCCTGCAGGTTCTGCCATGCCAGGAAGATTGTTAAGATAGCGATTAGACTAAAAGCAGTTACAGACATAGTGTAAGATTTTCTACACTATGCTGGAGGTCTGTGGGCAAAGTCGCACTGCTGGGGAATAGGGATGTAACAGCAGTAAGGCGTTTCCTTCAGATGACCAGCATGCCAGGTATGTTGCCTCTCCACTCTGAAGAGCGAAAGAGAGTTAGAAAACGTCGACCCCAAAAATTGTACATCCCAACTTACCCCACTTAAGTCCGTAGTCGGCAGTAAGTTACTAATACGGAACCAAACCAAAAAGCCAGTTCAGACAGGCCGTGTGTGATCGGCCTCAAGCAGTTGTCCCCTGGGCTGTGCGGTCACGCAATACTAACTCTCTTTCTGTTTCAGATAACCCAAGAATATATCGACTCCCAAGGTGTGGGCAGCTGGGAAGTAACAACTGCCCATACTTCCAAAAGCACATAAAGCCCAGTCAGTCAGTCAACGTCTTGTACCTGACTGACTGGGATACACTTGGATTTCATGCTGTTCACAATAGATTCAAGTTCATTAAATCTAACTGATGTCTCTTTTAAAGTTAGATGACAGATCACGAACTAACATTATTTAGAGAATCATTGAAAAGCAGGAAGCACTGGATACCTATTTCGTTTTAAATTCAGACTATTCAGTAGCACACACCCATAACCCCACCAAGAATCAAATCGACGAGTTGCATATTACAAGGCGAGACGGTTGACCATTCAGCCACTGGGAAGCAGTTCAAAAAACCAAGAATTCTAAATTCCGTCAAGCTGCGATACATAAAGCCACCACTAACCAATGTCATCAGCGTGTACCTGTCTTCACACGCAACTTGGATGCATACTGCTAAATAGTCTCAAAGTAGGACAACATAGCTGTACAGTTCGTCCTGGTTATAAGTCGTTCTCTAACTGGTGCCATTTTATGACCCAAAATAATGGTAGTAACCATTAAACTAAACGTCTGTAACGACATAGCATGATGGTCGCGCCGTTATACACAAAGCAGAATTCTGTTCATGCATCGAAGCAGATTCAGCAAGTTTAATGAGTATGTATTAAAGTTAAACACTTTAGTGTAATCACAACTCCATGAAAGACACCTTCGAACAAGAATTATGATGAAAATCTTGTAACCAATCAAATCCCTACAAAACAACACTTGAATTATGAATTTGTTAATTTACATTAAGGCAATGAATGTCTATTATTAATGAACGTATGAAATGTTGAAATTATAAAAGCTAACATAATAAAAATTAGACAGACTAAATCGTATTATCATTTCTGATGTAATTATTGATCATAATAATATAACATTTTCATTTCTTTCTATTTCAGCGAAGAAAATTTTCTATATCAACGAAATCATCTCCAGAGGTTGTACATTCATATTTGTATTTACTGGCATGGTTAGCGAGAGGACAATCTAAGACAATTACTAGCTCAATTCTCGAGTACTTGGTGAACTCAGGCCACACAGCTTCACCAGAGTTGTCTTTTAAGATTACCTCCAAGATGAGACCGTATGGCACAAGGGGTATTCATCAGTTTCGGCATTTGTGTATGGTGGGTGGAGGCGCTGGCGATTCGGCAGTATAATCCAGAACTCTGTGTACAAAAAAGTTCATTCAGCCTCTTATCCTACCATGGTCTTAATCATCCGCTTCCATTTCTAGTAATTAATTCATTAGTAACACTCTAACATGTTTCTTTGGTACATTTTCTCACCCATTTCAAACTTATCAAGTGAGCACTCAACTAACTTACTTCTCATTCAATAACAATTTTAACTTGACCAAACTTCAAACCCTTCCTTCCATTCCCTTATGTAATTTTGCTTAGTTTTCCAAATTATTTTAGAAATCACTTCTGAGTCACTATATACATTACGTCACCCCCTATTACTCATTAATAAACTACTATGCGTCTTTCGGTAAAAGTGTTGGTTTGCAGGGATTTGATTGGTTACAAAATTGATCACGGACTGACACCAATTAGAGAACTATTGGAAAACGTGAAAGTACTAGAAGTCGTCTCGTCCTACTTTGGGACTCTCCAGAGTACGCACCCACCTGGGTTCGAACCCAGGACCTTCAGGTTACGAGGCAGTCTCGCAGACCATCAAGCCACTGGGACACGACACGACCCAATGGTTTATGAATTTTAACCTTTGCAAATTCGTGATACATATATTTAGCACAACTCCCCGCTAACCAGTAGGTCCTAGGTTCGAACCCCGATGGGTGCGTACTCTTGAAGAGACACAAACTAGGACTAGACGACTTCAAGTACTCTTATGTTTTCCAACAGTTCGCTAACTGATGTCAGCTCGTGATCAATTCTGTAAATATAAATACAATTGTACAACCTCTGAAGATGATTTCGTCGATAAAGAAAATTTTCTTCACGACTCAATGGGTATTTTTGGTCTTCTTTTTGTTCATTTGTTACTTAAATACACACATTCAGTAGAAGAAAGAAAAACAACATACCATGGATACAATTTCTGACGTCGATTACTAATGAATTCAGCAACACCTTGATGTGTAAGGCCCAAATGAATATGTCGTGAACCATATGCTTTAGTCTGAAAGATAATAAGAGAAATTAATTATTCAATTTATTATGACAGTATGTCTATCACCACAATACTACTACTAATCGAAATGTTATTGAAATCCAGGTGTTGACATAACTATTTATTTAAGTTCACTTCATTAAATGACTGTCTCACCAACAAAAAGTATAATTGTTTGTATGTAAAGTTTTCATCTTAATTCACTTGTGATTCGGCAGTCTAATGAATGACTACTCCAGGATCAGCTAATTGGACAGTTACTTGCTGATTAAATCAGTTGAGCTATTTTAATATCATGGATTCGCAGAAGTTGGCACTCCCTGAACCAGGAGGTCCCAGTAAATGAGTCTACGAGCTCGCCTTGTAACAAGAAGGCCTTGAGTTCGAAACCCGGTGGGTGGGTATTCATGAAGAGTCCTAAACCAGTACAAGACATCTATCTATCCACGACTTCCTGGTTTACCAATGATATCAACTCATGATCATACCAGTAAACTCAAGACATTTGAAACAGTGTACTCTAGGTTTCAGTCTCAGTAATAATACCATCATTCGATAATATGCACGCAGACTCGGTTGGAAAATGACAAACAAAATTACTCATAGATTCTTGACTTCTGTGCTACCTACAACCAGACAAGTAACATCAACTTAGAAGTCAAGGTAACATCAAAGCATTCATTAAACCAGCTTATATTGCCGAAATGAGACTAATAAGCAATTCAATTCAGAAATAACAACGGTGAGTGACAGGTAGAAGAAAACAACATTGATTTGGCAAATACCACCGACAATTATACATCTCATCCAACATTTGTACGACAATGCTGCATGCCAAGTGGTCACAACAGGAAACTCACGGAATCCTTCGAAGTGAAGACGGGAGTAAGACAAAGATGCCTACTATCGCCAATGATTTTCCTGATTGCAGTAGATTGGATAATGCGACAAACAGCGGGCAATGAGGAAACGGGCATAAAATGGACTCACACAAAAAAAACTTGGAGGATCTGGACTTCGCTGATGATATATGTCTGATCTTTCACAAACTGGAAGATATCCAGGCGAAAAGCAACAAGTTGGGAGAAGAAGCATCAAAGATAGGAAGGAGTTCAGGTGAACATAGAGAAAACAGAGGTGATGAAGATTCCTGGGCAACACCACCATTAGCAACAACAGACAACAATCAGCATAAATGGAAGGAACCTGAAAGAAACAACCTCCTTTACCTACCTACCTGGGAAGCATCGTTTCAACTACAGGCGGACAGAACTGATGAGGATATCAAAGCAGCGAGGATTGGGAAAGCAAGACAAGCTTCCACTACTCTCAAGTCTGTGTGGAGGTCAACAGCACTCAGCATCAAAAATAAGATCCGGATTTTCAACTCCAATGTGAAGTCAGTCAGTGCTATTATACGGATCAGAGACTTGCACTGCGAGTCATAAAGAGCATCTCAAACAAACTACACACCTTCATTAACAGTTGTCTTCGCTCAATGCCACTCAAGATCAGATGGCCGGCCAGAAAACATCAGCAACAGAGATCTCTGGGAGCGAACCAACCAGCAACCGATTGTGACGCAAATATGCAGGAAGAAATGGAGATGGATTGGCTGGTCATACTCTGAGGAAACCATCAAGTGACATCACTAGACAAACCATTGGTCGAGTGGAACCCGAAAGGGAAGCGGCGAGTTGGTCGTCAGTGCAAGGGTGACTTGGAGGAAGTCATATGAAGAGGAGATGAAAGCATGTGGGCAGACTTGGAGCCAGGTGAAAACTCTAGCAGAGAACCGAACGTAATGGAGACGCACGGCTGAAGCCCTATGTTCCTGTAGGAATTAAAGGAAACAATTATAATAATAATACACCTTCAGTTACGTTTAAACAACCTAAAGAAAAGTAAAAATGTGCAACGATTTAATTTGTCACACTTCTCAAGATTGTGCAAAACTCGCTATTAAGAAACGATGAAAATATGAAGGAATAGAAGATATACTACTACAGTTTTAAGTTAACTTTGTCAAGACAGGCAAAATTCTTTCGCCTGAATAAAATAATTTATCATCATTGAAGATATCAGTTCACCTTCTATAATAATGAAATAAATGTATTTACATAGTATTAACTATATAAGGCAAACATTTTACAGCGTAAATGTAGATAATTATAAATTCATTTGCATGCCATCGATAATTACTTGAACGAGAATAGGAATTAAAAATCAATAAAAAAAACACTCAAGCAGTCTCGCTATATATAACAAGTTGTGAGTAACACCCAATGCATGAAACATTAAAATAATGTTTAGTTATTATTATTTATAAGAAATTAAATGTCTTAGTTAAAGGCAGTGAAATACCATTGAATTATGCACTAAATAATAATAATATCCACATTCATGATACTGTGAATAATACAGGAAGCTAAATGTCATAAAAATTTGTAACCGTGAATAAGGAGAATACTATACACGATTGCTATACAATGCCCGTTCCGACATAATACAAAAGACAGCTTCGGCATTCACGTAGAACAACATATTTTTGAATAGTTAAAAGAAAATTTTAAAAGGCATGGCTGATTTCCACTAGTGAGAACAAGCTATAATCTAAAAGTTAGTAAGCAGTGTCCAATTAAAATACCCAGCACATTCCTACAGGAGGTTAATCGCAAGTTAGAATACCTCAGTGGTAACGCCTCTGAATACAGAAGTGGATAGATAACACAGGTTCGAATCTCAGAAGGGATATGAGTTCAATCAAATTTGCAGATATGCCTAGCAGACAAGTGCTAACAAGCACGAAATCTGCGTCCAAGGTTTCCTGTCGATTGCATCCAACTATTTTCACGGTCCCAGTGGAACATAGGGCTTCAAGCTAGAGAATTTAAGTTACTGTAGCAGTGTTTATCTTTACAGGATGGGGTTGCTAGCCTCATGTCCAACCTTTCCTCTTTACCAGCTTTATTTCTGGCTTAGCAAGGTAGAGGAGTGCGTCGGCCGGAGATCGAACCCTGGACCATGTGCATGGTCGGCAAGCCTCCTAACCGCTGTGCTACTGACGCATCCAACTATTATATATATATATATATATATATATATATTATACAGAGAGAGGGAGACAAATTACCACGGTCCACTACAAGTATCCAAAATGTATGTCAAAGCTAATTACAAACATTATAAATATACCTCCAAAATGACATGTCCAAATAATCAAACATCAACGACAAATAATAAACAAATATTCGAGTAGATTCATTTGATATTCGATACAAAATATAGTATGCGCTTACAACAAACATGGAAATACAGTTTTAATCTTCACTTCAAAGCAAAAAATCAACTGACAAGCATTTAATAATTCCTTTTTGGAAATTACTAATGTATAGGATAAAGTTTCGTATTTGAGGCAAGCCTTTTATATTATGGGCACTAAACAAAATGATTAAGAGATTCTGAAAAATACCAAAATGTTAATCAATTAAATAACGCATTAGTTAGTAAGGAGTATTAGTTTTAAACTGTTTGTTACATATAACAAAGATTCAAAATCCATACATTGTCAATAAGGACTCCCTGTAAGGTGAGACTTCAACCACGTGTAAAACTGGCTTCTAGCAACTGCTTTCATACTACTGGTAGGTTATCCTAGACACTTTCACCAATTTCTCTGAATTCTATAACCACTGTTACCCACTTGAGTTAAAGAAACACAGTTCACGGTTTCTAAAAAATGACTTAACCAACATAATTTTGAAGTATTCAACGTTCAGGCCTGATGTCAAATCGCATACATGGCTTCACTAGCCAAATATCTTGGATCTCAGGCTTCGGATGTACATTGTATTACATACAAGACTCAAGCGTAGTTATTCGCTTAATCCCACATGTACCAAATGAAGAATCTACGAAATTCACCCTACAGATGACAAGATATCCTTTGGTTAACTCTAGGGGACTTAATGGTATAGGAATACTATTAAGCTAAGAAGCAAAAACGTCATTACTTGATCGGATCTCAACGGACGGTCATTTGGCTAGACGGATTCGTAAGAATTAAGTAAGATAGTGATACACACTCGCTAATGCCTTCTCATAAGCTCCGTTTACACACCAAACGACTTATCTTTGGACCACATAAATGATGAGATTTATCAATAATTGTATAATTCTCTGACAAAAGCAAAACGCTCAGGTATAGTCATCTTAACAGATGATTTCAGTGTTCAGGTAAGGAAGTTAATCCAGACCGATATGAAGCATGCTGGCGGTGTTCTTAGAGTTCCGTGCTGACGAACCGACAACACACGCATACATTGTAGTTTTCCTAATCTTTTTTCCTCTACTTTTACGTATGCTTTTCGCAAGTATATCAACTTGAACTGACGTACTTCTGTGGAAAATTAATAAACAAAACTAATATTTTACTCAATGTTTTGCTGAAATACCACTAAACCTTGATGTACAGTAATCAGCGCAAAACAATCACCAACATAAATGACAAAGGTATACTGACATTTAATACTGCATGAATCTTAGAATACTTTCATTATACAGTCAGTCAGTAGCTGGGATTTTTTTTCCTTCACGTTCCCCAGTGGAACATAGGGCTTCAAGCTAAAGACTTGAAGTTTCTGTAGCAGTGTTTGTTTTACAGGATGGGGTTGCTAGCCTCATGCCAAACTTTCCCTCTTTACCAGTCTTACTACTGACTTAGCGAGGTAAAGGAGTGCGTCGGCCGGAGATTGAACCCTGGACCATGTGCATGGTCGGCGAGCGTCCTAACCGCTATACCACCGACGCTGGGACAGATTCTACCAAATCTGCAGAATTACTTTACACTTTCTTAACTAAACGATTTATCCTTAGAAAAAAAAGGCCACTTCAGAAATGTTAAAGAAAACTTTGAACTAATGAAAGTTATGCAATCAATTAAACAAAATGATTTTATTTTGAGAAATGTATAGGATTTCCTACTCAAACAGAAACACACTACACTTTGC